TTGTCAAATAAATAAATAAAACCTTAAAAAAAAAAAAAAAAGAAATAGCTTTCACTAATGTTGAATTTCATCACTCCCTCATACGACCTTCCATTACACTAGAACCTGAACACAATTCAGCCAAGTCCTTCGCCAGTTTGTAACAAGGACGGCCTTTCTTCCAGTTTCCAATAACATATTCCTCATTTCCATCTGAGACCTCATCAGAATGGCCTTTACTGACCACGTTTCTGCTGACATTCTGCCCAGGGTTACTGATGTATCCTCTAAGAAGATGGAGGCCTTCTCTGCAATTCTCTTTTCTTTCTGAGCCCTGGCCAGAATCACCCTTAACGGCCCATTCATGGCAATGTTTGCTTTTTCTAGCATGCACCCAAAGCTCTTCTCCCATCTGCCCATCACCTGCTTCCAGTGCTTCCACATGTTTGGGTATTTGTTCTAGCAGCACCCCACTTCTCAGTATTAATTTCTTAGTCCATTGGGGGTAGCTATAACAAAAATGCTGTATTTTTCAGTCCTGGAGGCTGGGAAGTCCAAGATCAAGGCAGATTTGGTGTCTGGTAAGAGCCCTCTTCCTGGTTCATGGACATATTCCCACTGTGTCCTTACATGCTGTAAAGGACAGGGGAGTGCTCTGGAATCTTTTATAGGAGCACTACTTCCACTCATGAGGGCTCCACTGACATGACCCAATCACCTTCTAATGGTCCACCTCCTAATACCGCCGCATTGGGGGTTAGCCTTCATCATATGAATGGAGGGGGCACACAGACATTCATTATATGGCAATTACTTAATATAGTATAGTAGTGGCAGTATTGGGGGAGGGTGATTTAAGAGTTATTCATCCCAATGCCAAATGCGGCAGAGATAAAGAGCTCAAAAGATGTTTAAATATAAAATGGCAGTTCCATAATGAATCCTTGATTAAAGAAGACTAGGATGTTTAAAGCTAATTTCTTGAGATAAGCGGACAGAGGGGCTCATCTCTTTCCCATCATGACGCCTGCGCCATTCTCCAAAATGGAACACTGGACCGATCCTGCCACAAGTCTTTGGGTTTATCTCCCATGGCCATGCTTGCTAAACCTCATGACTGAGTTTGCAATTAAACCATAGTTGACACAAGCAGGTTTTATGCATTAATGCTGGAACAGCCTGAGAAACACAACACCTCCCTGGGTAGAAGTGGGAGCTTCCCTGTGGCAGCAGCAAGCCCAGACATATGGGGCGGGGGACTGCCGTCCAAATGCACTAATAGCTGTTTTTAAACTGATCCCCTCTAAGTCTTTAGAGTGTAATGGCTGATTATTGGGTCAACAAACATGAAAAGCTTTGTCACTGGCCCACGTTTGGACCAGAAGCAACATGTCTTTCATGAGCATTTAGGATGAAAGATAGAAGATGAATACAGAAAATGTTGGTAATAGTGAGCAGCACTGAGGGTCTTTTTAATGTGTGTTTGCCCTAAGAGAAAAAGCAGAGCAACAAGATCTATGAAATGTCCTTGATCTTTGTTCATCCCAGGCTTGTAAGCCCTGAGTTACCTTTGTGTTTCTATCACCAGACCTGTGGGGTGGTATTTCTAATTAGACTTCCAGGTTTTAGCTAAGTGAGATGATGACACTTACATGGAGTGGTTCAGTGGACACTGGTTCAAGGAATACTTCACTGAGTAGGAATTTGACCATATCATCCCCCTTCTTAAAATCCTTACAGTTCATCAGTGTTCTCTATAACCTCCAGGATGGGGAGAAGGTCTCTCTGTCCACGTGCACACTCTCACCTTTGCTCCCGTCACACTTTCCCGTTCTCCAAATACTCCATGTTCTCTTATAACTTCGTGCCCTCACACATGCTGTTCCCTCAGAAATGTATGCATCTTCTCTGTGAAACCAACCTTGACAATCTTGAATTAGATTATCTTGTGCAGTCTGTGTTTAACTTCATTGTAGCACACACCATGTCTTATTGAAATTACCCCCCCAAACTTAACTGTGAGATCCTGAAGGCCAGGGGGTGGTGCTACAGTGCAATCATCCTTGCTTTCCCAATGCCTAGCCCAGTGTCAGGCACAAAGGTAGCAGGTCAATAGACGGAATGGGTGAGTTTCAGTAAATTGGAAATGATAGAGACTTTTCCAACATAAGTGCATCCCATTCCGCATTTTCTCTTCGGCAGAATAGATACTATTAAAGCAGTTAATAGGTCCCTATATTAGCCCCACATAGTTAAGGATATAGTGTAAACCCCATCGCTTCCCTTAAGACAAATGAAAAGAGAAAGTAAGAACAGAAACAATTTATACACTTGAAGGAAGGAAGGAAGGAAGGAAGGAAGGAAGGAAGGAAGGAAGGAAGGAGGGAGGGAGGGAGGGAGGGAGGGAGGGAGGGAGGGAGGGAGGAAGGAAGGAAGGAAGGAAGGAAGGAAGGAAGGAAGGAAGGAAGGAAGGAAGGAAGGAAGGAAGGAAAAGGGAAGGGGTAGAGGGAGAAAGGAGGGAGGGTTTTCCTTCCCAAAGTTTACCTCAAATGCAAGAGAAGAGATTATTATATTTTGTTCTGAGGCTTGGTCCATGAACAAAAAAAGAAAGAAAGAAAGTGACAGAATACATTATGTTCCATGAGATTAGAAGAGGGATGTTTTTCAGCTCCCAATCCTTCAAAAGACACAAGTTGTACTTCAACTAGAAACCTTTTCTAAAGCCGCTCAGGAGTGTAGGAGTTGCATTAGATAATGGAAAGCAAACTGAACCTAACCTGAAGTGCCTGATTAATTAGTCTGTTTATTTCCCAACACCTCCCCTTTTCATTCTTCAGGAATGAATAAGCTTTATTATTCACCTCCATTGGACTTACGGTATCTTACCTATATAAATGCCTGTCTTGGAAAGAACCACTCCTCCTCCACCTCATCTTGCTGTGGATAGCCCAAGGGAGTGCTAAGACAAACAAATGCTCCCAGGATGTGGGGAAGACATCAGGTGAGTGACAGGTGCAGAGGCCGGGCCAGGGCCACACAGCCTGGAGAGGTTTTCCCTCCTGGCAGAGAAGGCTGTCTCCACTATCTTCTCTCTAAGATTGCTCATCAAGTGCCGCTGGGATTTGGGCAGCCCGCAGCTGTGTTTAGGAATACATTTGCTTTATCTCTCACATCCTTTGAGGATTTCATTACAGGCCATTTTATCCACTTTAATGAATGCTCTGGCAGTTTCTGAACATGGGACTGTGTCTGCATGCCCTGAGCGGTGATTATGTTCACTGTCGTTGAGATTGAATGGAACATATAGTCACATACCCTTTCACCATGTCTTTTTCAGATGACATAACCTTCATTTCGGGTCATAACGACGAGCAGATGGCCAAGGAGAGAAAGGTTTTAGCTCAAAAGTTGGGGTTGCCCAGTTTTCCTCCTTTCCCTCATACCCCATTAGCTAATCAGTCACCTCCTGCTACTATTTAGAATTCTCTAACAGTTTTTGAATCTGGCTAAATAAATATGGCATATCGATTAGAAATCAAGTTGTACAAAGTTAATGAAATAGAGACATATGATCTATAAAGTGGAAAAAGCAGGTTATAAAATAGTTTGAGTAAATGACTACATATATGTATATATATATATTTTTTTTTTGAAAAGAGCCTAATTGCATATGCACCTAAAAATAATAATGCTTACTCTTGGAGTGGAATAAAGGATCATTTTATTTAATTAATTAATTTATTTTTAGGTAGGCTCTATACCCAGCATGGAGCCCAACATGGGACTTGAACTCACAACTCAGAGATCAAGACCTGAGCTGAAATCAAGAGTTGGACACTTAACTGACTGAGTCACCCCGGTGGTGCATGGATCATTTTAATTTTATTCCATGTACATTTATAATTTTTTCCAAATTATTTACATTGAGCATGTACTAATTTATAATCTGAAAAATTAATACAAAATGTTAAGAAAATGAATGAATGCGTGCAAAGAGGGGAAAGTGAGTATTCCCTATGTGTTCTATTCCTGTCGCCACTACCAGTTTATTGCTCATTTTTTTCTCACCTAGAAAATTCTCCTTGCATGGCACCCTCTCTTTAATCTCTCCCACCCTTAATTCATTCTCTCTCCTAAAGGTCTTCCTGAAAGAAAATCTGACCAAGTGGCTCCCCTAAATCCTCCAGGGTTTCCTGCAGGACAAAGGAGTCCAAAATCCTTGGGCTGAAGATTAAGACACTTCAGAAGCTTGTCTGCACCCGAGGTTCAAATCCAACTCCTGCGTCTCCATCCTGGTCACCCGAAGTCTGGGCCTCTCTTGATGTGAGCACCCCATCCCCTGAGACTCTCCTCTCCCCCTGCCTTCACCCACATCATTTGCTCTCGCAACCTTCAAGAGTCAGCTCTTGTGTCACGTCTCACAGAAAGCCTTCCCTGGCATCTCTAGGTAGAGTTAGGGGTTTTCTGTCTTGTTCATATCTTCATGCTAGCATTTTCCACAGCAATGTAATTATTACATTAGGCATCTCTTTTCTCCACCTGAAGGGCAAGAGGATCTCTGTCCTCCTCTGTGATCAGCTCCCAGGGCGGCGTCACACACTACTCTTGGTGCTTAATAGACATTATGGAGTGAATATACCCTTAGCTGGTGTGGCTGGAGGAAGGGAGGAGAAGGAATCTGAGCTTATTTTCATTGATTTCCTGCTCTGACTGTGGAAGCTGTGATTCTTAGTTAACTAAGTTTAGGCTCTCTCTTTCCTCAGAGGAGTGTAATACATGCTAAAATTTTAAGGTATTTGATCATTCAGCATTTATCCACTTTCTCCATTTGGGATATGAGGACATGCATCCCATTGCAAAATACTTTCCCTCTGTAAGCAATCTAATTCTGGGTAAGTGAAATGTTACTTGGTGTTGGGGGTTGAATTGTGCCCCCACAAAATTCATATGTTGAGGTCCTAAACCCCCAGTGCCTCAGAATATGACCTTATCTGGAAATAGGGTTGTTGCAGATGTAATTAGTTAAGTTAAAGTGAGGTCATTAGGGTGGACCCCTTAATCCATGATGACTAATCCAATACAATGTCCTGGTAATAGGGAGAGATTTAGACAAAGAGACACATAGGCACACAGGCAGAATGCCCTGTGAAGATGAAGGTGGAGATTGCGATAGGGCTTCTATAAGCCAAGAAATGCCAAGAATTGCCAGCAAACCACCAGAAGTTAGGGGAGAGGCACAGCTTCTTCCCCAGAGCTCTCAGAAGGAACCAGCCCTGTGGACATCTTGATCTCAGACTTTAAGGCTCCGGAACTGTGAGATAATAAACTTCTCTTATTAAGCCACTCACTTTGTGGTCCTTTTTTTAAAAGAGCATTTCTAGTTAACTAATATACCCAGGGACCCTGGTGACAATCAGAGAGGGGGGACCCAAATATCAGAGAGGAGGATTATATCCTAAATATCATCTCTCAAACTATCATTGTGGTAGCCAGCATCTGGCATGATTATGGCTCCTTTTGCAAATAAGAAAAGGAAGGTCCTATTCTACCTGTTTTAAAAATTAAATTGTGGGTATCATTTTCTTTTCCCCTATACTTTTTCATTTTTTTCAACTGAAGAAAACAACTTGTCTGAATTTAGGTATATATAGAACTAAAATCAAAAGACGCAGAAGGATAGACTGAAAAATAAGTCTCCTGCTTCCTATCAGTCCCCTCCACCTCGTTCCCCTCACTGGAGGAAACCTCTTTTATGTCTGTGCATATATATATTTCACTTTTTACACAAGTGATCATATATTTTAAACATTATTCTGACTTAACTTTATCACATAATTGTGGATATGGGAGCTAATTCTTTAGTAGAATATACAAACATGCCTCATTCTTTTGATGACTGCATGGTGTTTTTTTGATAGATATTTTGTGCCTGTTCTTAATGAATTTTTAGCTGACTTTTCTCAATCAAAATAAACAGGAAGCATTCCCAAAGTTTCCTTCACAGCCCGGCTGAGCCTGCCCACTGCTCTTATCCCATTAAAGAGATGGATATTCTCTTTGCCACCAGAGGTTGGTAAATATGCTTTAAACCCTGTGAAAAGTGGACTTAAGTTTTATAAAAGTGTCTCTAAAGCAAAGCAGCTTATGTTTGGTGTGGGACTGACCCTGCTGGCCCACTAGATCTTATGTCATCAAATTTTTCTCCTCTGTGGGCTATGCTAGAAAGGCTCAATTGGATACATGTTGGGCCAGATAAAATGTGAGATCACCATGAATTAATCAAAACCTTTGAGTAATGTATCCATTACCTTCCTGTGACCCATGTGTCATCATTCATTTCCCAAATGCTACTGCACTGGGATTTTAGGACTCATCTGAGTTCTCTCTGCTTGCATTTTTTTTTGAACCTTTCCTAAATTCTCACAGAGATAAATGGTAGATGCTTCTGGTTCAATAAGACTCTGCTTGCATTTGTCATCTAATTTCCCAAAATAAGTTAATAGAGTCATTCATTTGTAATGTAACTGTATCTTATTTTATGTGGTTGATTCTGAGTGTGAGCTTAAGGAGGTAATGGCCATTACTAACTCATTATTTTTCACATTGAGTCCAAGAAGCTCTTTATACATTCACCATGGCCAAAATTCGGATGAGTTTCAGAAGTCATACTTGCATGGAACATCATCCCCAGTAGGTCTGTGACTTTCAAATAGGCCAGGCAGCACATGTGTGTGATATACATTCCATTCTTTTCCAGAGTACCCATCCCATTCATCCTTCAAAGTCTTAACTGCCTGCCAGAAGTCTTCAAAGATCCCCCCAATGGAATGAATAGGTTTCCCCCTTATTTAAGAGTTGAAATGTATATCTCCACTTAGCTCTTATTTCCTTCAGTGTTGTTTTAAGATATTGTTTCCATGCTAGTTTCCTTTACTGAGCTGCAAATAGGCCTTGAGGACAAGAACTATGCCTCTCATTCATAGCAGGGAGATCAGCCAATGTCTATTTTTTTTTTAAGATTTTATTTATTTGACAGAGAGAGACATAGCAAGAGAGGGAACACAAGCAGGGGGAGTGGGAGAGGGAGAAGCAGGCTTCCCGCAGAGCAGGGAGCCCAATGCGGGTCTCGATCCCAGGACCCTGGGATCATGACCTGAGCCAAAAGCAGATGCTTAACGACTGAGCCACCCAGGCGCCCCTCAGCCAAATGTCTATTGTGAAGAGATGATCATCACACACTCAAATTATCAGATAGTAATAGTTTTCATGTATGGAGCACTTACTTAATACACATAAGTCATCATTGAAAGAACTGTACATGAATTATCTAATTTAATTGTCTTAATATCCTTTGTATGATATTATCATCTCCTTATTATAGAAAGAGAGACATTTTAAGCCACTTGCCTAAAGTCATATAGCTAACTTGGCTGTAGACACTTAGGCACTAAGATGCCGAGCCCTAAAGTCTACAAAATTGATAAAAATCCAGCCATCAAACTTGTGTAGTATAGAATTTTAATTAATTTTTAAGTTTAGTCAATTGAGTATTTCAATGGCCTTCCAATTACATTTCCTGCCTTTTTCCTTGTTCCCTTGTGTTTGTCCTAGGGGTCTGTTCTCAATAGACAGTGTGATCCCATGCTAACACAAATTAGTTCTTGGGCCCCAAGCTTCTCAATGACTTCCATTTCACAAGAGTAAAAGCCAGAATCCTCATAATGGCTTATTAGGCTAAACCAGTTCTTTTCCCACGCTGTAACCTCTCCAGCCCTATTTCTTGCTCTCTCCTTTGCTCACTGTACTCCAGTCAAGTTGCTTCCTTGCTGTTCTACTAACAAGTCAGGTGTGCCTCTGTCTCACAGCACTTCTTACTGGTTTTCCCTCTCTCTGAAACTGTCTTCTCCCAAAATATTCTTCATCTTCTTCAAATTGTTACTTAAAAGGAAATTTCTTAGGCTCCTGACCATGATCAAGTAACTGATTTCAGACTAGCTCATCTTCTATATGTAATTAGGGAACTGGACAATATATGTGAGGTAAAATCATTTTCAGACAATGGAAAAGAAACAGCACAAGATGTCAGCACCTGGAAGAAGGGAGCATGAGGTGAGCTGCCTAGAGAGCCAAATTTGAGCAAAGGACAGTAGGCAAGGATCAGAGTTCAAGGCAACTGAAATAGCTGGAATCTGTGCAGGGAGAAATCCCTGGAGCTCTATGTATATGAGTGGCAAGGCCCTTCATGGGTCCATGGCTGAGGGCTGGACTATACATGTACAAACCACCCAAGGCTTACCAAATACCGGCTACTATGGGTTTGAGATTGAGGCAAATGTAAGAAAGGTTGTGCAGTTCTGGAGGTAAATGTGTGAGTATTTAAACTTAAATTGAAGAAAATGAAATGAAATTTAAAATTCAGCTCTTTAGTCATGCTCAAGTGTTCAATAGTTGCCACCATATTGTATGGTGCAAATGCAGAACATTTCCCTCAGTGCAGAAAGTTCTACTGAACAGTGTTGATCTCCAGGATCTACAGTGTAAAATTCACAGTGTCCAGTAGTCAATCATAAATTGCTAGACATACAAAAAAATACTAATCAGGATCATGTCTTCCCCAATAAAAAATAAAAGCAGTCAAAAGAAACTGATTCTAAGATTGACCAAATGTTGGACTTAGTAGATAAAGACTTTAAAATATATATGTTAATATATATGTTTTATAACATATATTCAAAGAATTAAAAATATACCCATTAATTTTTTTGAAAAGGTCCTAATAAATGAGGAGTGAATAAATAAGGAATCTTAGCAGAGAAATGGAAACCATAAAAAGAACCACATGGAAATTTTAGAATTATGTAAGACCTAAAGTGAGTCATTCACTAAGGGGCTTGAGATGGTGGAAGAAAGACTCATTGAGGTTGGAGACAGATCAGTAGAAATTATCGAAGAGAGAAAAAAAATATTAAGGAGAAATGAACAGAGGGTCAAGAACCTGTGGAATAGTATCAAACAGTTTAACACATGTGCGATTGGTGTCCCAGAAAAAGAAAGTGAGAACAGAAAAAATATCTGAACAAATAGTGGCCAAGAACATCCCAAAAGTTTTGAAAAATGACTTACAAATCCAAGAAGCTCAAGAAGGATAAAGATAAAGAAAACCCCACACAGGTACATCATAGTCAAGCCACAGAACACTAAACATAAAGACAAAATCTTGGAAGCAGTCAGAGAAAAAAGACACAGTACATACAGGTGCACAAAGTTAAGAATTGTTGATTTTTCATCAGAAAAAATAGAGGCTAGAATACAATAAAACAACATCTTTAAAGTGTTGGATGAAAAATTCTGTATTGAAAAATTCCGGAATTCTGTATTGAACAAAAGTATTCTTCAAAATCGAAGGTCGAATAAAGACATTTTCAGATAAACAAAATCTGAGAAAATTAATTATTGGAAGATCTGAACTACAAAGGATGTCCTTTAGTCCTTAGGAAAATAATGCCAGCAGAAACTACAGAGAGAAGGAAAATTCCAGAAATAATAAATAATTGAATAAGCCAGTTGTGGCACTTTCATACAATGGACTAACACTCAGTAATAAAAAATAGTAACTATTAGTAAGTGCAATAACATGGATTAAAGTGAATCAAAGAAGCCACATACAAAAGATTGTCATGTTGTATGATGCCATGTTATATGACATTCTAAAATAGGAAAAACTAATAATATAGTGATATAAATAATATCTGTGGTATCTTGCGGTGGGGGTTTGGCATTGACTATCAAAGAGTGAGGGAACTTTCTAGGATGATGGAAATTTTCTATAGCTTAATTAGGTATTAAATGAATATATTAGTCGAAAGTCATCAGTCTGTACACTTAAAATGTGTGCATTTTATAACAGATAAATTATAGATTAATAAGGTAGGTTAAAAATTTTTTAAGTTACCTTCTCTGTGAGATTTTGCCCGAGCACCCTTTTTAAAACTGCTCCCTTTCATTAGTTTTCTCTGTAGTATGTATCACTAACACAGTAGACATATTTTTAAAATTTAAATTAAATTTAATGTTTTTATTGAATAGTTGTAAGTATAGTTTTTTTATTAACATATAACGTATTATTTGTTTCAGGGGTATAGTTCTGTGATTCATCAGTCTTACACAATTCACAGCGCTCACCATAGCACATACCCTCCCCAATGTCCATCACTCAGCCACCCCATCCCTACCACACCCATCCCCTACAGCAACCCTCAGTTTGTTTCCTCCTGAGATTAAGAGTCTCTTACGGTTTGTCTCCCTCTCTGGTTTCGTCTTCTTTCACTTTTTCCTCCCTTCCCCTATGATCCTCTGTCTTGTTTCTCAAATTCCTCATATCAGTGACATCATACGATAATTGTCTTTCTCTGATTGACTTATTTCACTCAGCATAATACCCTTTAGTTCCATCCACGTAGTTGCAAATGGCAAGATTTCATTTTTTGATGGTTGCATAATATTCAATTGTATATAGATAATACCACATCTTCTTTATCCATTCATCTGTTGATGGACATCTAGGCTCTTTCCATAGTTTGGCTATTGTGGACATTGCTGCTATAAACATTGGGGTGCACGTACCCCTTCGGATCCCTACATTTGTATCTTTGGGTAAATACCAGGTTGTAGGGTAGCTCTATTTTCAACTTTGTGAGGAACCTCCATACTGTTTTCTAGAGTGGCTGCTTTCCCACCAACAGTGTAGGAGGGTTCCCCTTTCTCCGCATCCTCGCCAACATCTGTTGTTTCCTGACTTGTTAATTTTAGCCATTCTGACTGGTGTGAGGTGTTATCTCATTTTGGTTTTGATTTGTATTTCCCTGATGCCAAGTGATGTTGAACACTTCTTCATGTGTCTGTTGGCCATTTGGATGTCTTCTTTGCAGAAATGTCTGTTCATGTAGTTGTAAGTACAGTTTTATTGTATAGTTATAAGTATAGTTTTATTGTATAGTTGTAAGTATAGTTTTATTGTATAGTTGTAAGTATAGTTGAACACTATATATTTTTTTATCTTGTTTTATCTTCCCTTTTAGAACGTGGCTGCCAGGTGGGCAACGACTTTGCTCCTTTCTTTCATTGCTGTGAACATTGCCAACAACAGTACTTGGCACATAATACCTGCCCAGTAAATGCTACATGGATGAATAATGAATACACATATGAATGAATTGACTTTCTTTACAGGTATCAAAAGTAAGACCGTGTATGTAAGCTAAAGTAATGCTACACTAGTATGTCCTGAATCTCAGGACACCAGATTTTAATCTAACTCACAACAAGAAGGCAAGAAACATGAGTGAAGAAGGTATTACATGTAGACTAAACACATGTGTAGGTAGTTGGCATGCCATGTGAGATACTTGACCTGGGCTCTCCATAAATGAACTATGGATGTTTACAACCAGTACAACCTCAGATGTTTTTCTGTACTTTACCCACTAGAAGATAGACGTGCATATAACCAAGGAATGAGGATAATAAAGGGGAGGGAAGTGGGGTTTTAATTGGCAGAGACAATTGGCAGGTGGGTGGCCTGCTGTTTATCATCCCAAGACCTGCCACCTCAAGGTTTCTTTCTGTTTTTGCTTTTGTCTTTTTCAGGGAATTAGTAGGTGTAAAGTCTCTTAAGTGTGTAGATCTTGTGACATCTGGGCCTGGCCCATCTCTGGCTACCAACAAGTGCTGATAAGCACTTAGGTTTTTGTTTTTGTTTTTTAAGATTTATTTATTTATTTGAGAGAGAGAGAGAACACGGGGGGAGGGGCAAAGGGAGAGGGAGAGTCCTAAGCAGACTCCACACTGAGCACAGAGCCTGACTCGGGGCTCATCCCAAGACCCTGAGATCACAGCCTGAGCTAAAACCAAGAGTTGGATGCTCAACCGACTGCACCACCCAGGCTCCCCACTGGTAAGCACTTGTGATGGACATAATATTGGAATATGAATTTGACCTCAGTTCCAAAGATTCAGTCACCTCAGTTAGCCTCAAATTTCAGACAAGTGAGAAAAACCCACCTAGTTCTCTTCTTATTGGAAGGTCCACTTTATTGAAGATATTTACCTTGAAGAGAGAGTTCTCCTTCAAGGTAGGGACTGTTTAGGAGGGGGTATACATAAAGTATCAAGAGCATCCTGCTCCTCTCCTGAGCATCATACCTTTCCAAAGAAAATAGCAATTTGGATTCCTAGTTTCAGGTAAGGGCATGTTTATTTCATAGTTGATAAAATAAGATTCCAACATGCAGTGCTATCTGGATGGCTCTGAGAGCCATGACCTCAGTGCCACCTCCTCCAAGGCAAACTCCAACTTCACTCTACTCTGACTTCCACAGCACTTAGATCACATAGCACACATTCCAGCACTTGACCATGGTCTGCCCTGTCATTGGCCAATATTGTACCTCCTACACCCACCCCCGGCATAAGTATCAGTCTCACCAGCTCCAAAATTCAGAAAACGAGTACCTTGTCTCCTACTTTATTTTTATCATTAAACAACAGCAACACATTTCTTCTCTTCTTTTTTACATGCCCCCACCCCGGCCCAACTCCTATCCCTGCCCCCATTAGAGAGTTAGTGCTCAAAGAAACTGGAGATTGGGACTCAGGGTCTGGGAGTGGAGGGGAATATTCATACTTCTCATTCCGTGTCCCTCTGATTACTAGAATTATAAGTCCCAGCAGTCAGCCCTTTCAATGGAAAGGAGAGGAATCTGAAAGCATTCTTGGGGAAGTAGTGAAGGTATGAAAGAAGAAAGATATTTTGTAACAGATCTTCTTGTCTGAAATAGGGTGATGGGGAAGGGGGCCTGGAAAGGGGAACCAAGGTGAGGCACAATGGAAAGGGGGTAAAATCCACCTGAGGGAATATTTAAGATTTACAGGGAGTTGCTGGGAGAGGGCGGGTAGGAGGTGGAGAAGATGAGCCTATGGGTGCTTTGAACCCAAGCCAAGAAAACTGAGTAACAAGAGACCATGCATTTGTGACTATTTCGACAGTATGCAGCTTTGGACAGTGTGAGGGAATTTCAGGGTTCATGTTACTTGTGTATGGAGTTATCTTGATCCAGCATAGCAGTAGATGTGATGGAGAAGCAAGCACCAAGACAGCAGGTGTGTGTGTGTGTGTGTGTGTGTGCATGCTGCATTTGGAGACCTTACCGGAGGTCTTCTCTTCTCCTGCCAACTTTGGCTCTGTACATGAAGTGAGGATGTGTCTCCTCCCCTACTGTCACAGCCACAGAAGGTGATGATTTCATTTCCAGGTAAACCTCAGACCACCCTCAGAGCCATCCAGATAGCACTGCATGTTGGAATCTTATTTTATCAACTATGAAATAAACATGCCCTTACCTGAAACTAGGAATCCAAATTGCTATTTTCTTTGGAAAGGTATGATGCTTAGTCCCCTTTCCCCAACTACCAAGTTTCCAAAGAGACTTTCTGATGGCGAGATTATCTTCTTTTCAACCCCACAAACAGGTGTAGAGGATTTCTGTCTGAGTAGAAAGTACACAATGCATCATACATTGGTTGTAAATACCAGTACAATACTAAGCAAAGCAGCACTACTGAAAGCTATTTTTATCTGAGATCAAAAGGCCAAGCCACTGTGATGGATAAGGGCATAACCAATCTCCAAGCTCATCTTGTACCACTTTCCTCAGCTCAGGCCCTCCAGCCCCACTGGCCTCTTGCTGTTTCTCAAGCACAACTTCTTCATTTGTTCTCTGCCTGAAGGCTCTGACCCCAGCTCTCCAGGGTTATGGCTTCTGAGACCTCCATATCTAAAGTGTTTCTTACCCTACATCACCCACTTTCAGCTTCCTGATGGCACTCGCCACTCTTGATGTGATCTAGTATATCTATTTATTTATTTGGCTTATTTGTGTCTTTATCATTAGAATATAAGCTCCATGAGAACAAGGACCTTATCCATCTTTTCCAGCACTAAAGACACTGTCTGGCCCACAAAAAGTATTCAAAAAATGCTCATGGAATAAATAAACATGCTCATTGGTATAATATTTGTATTTTTTATGTTACATAGAAGGTATTTTTTCTGCACTGGGTACTGATTCAGCAGACTCTCCCAGGCCTACTATTCTATTCAATGATGGGGACAGTCTTTGAAAGACAAAAGAATGAGGGGACCAGTTAACTGTTAAGGACCCAGTGAAACAGCAATACTCCTTATTAAAGAATCAAATGTCTGTGATTCACTTTTGTTGTGTGGTCATAAGAAGGCTCCAAGGCCCCCCCACATGAGTTCAAATCTCTTCTGTTTACTGGGTAGACTGAGTCTTATTATGATGCACACATTAGAATTTGCAGGCAGAGAGGGCTTGCTCTCTTTGACTTATCTCTGTAGTTTCTGTTTGTGGCCAGTATGACTCTCCTCAGGGGACAAGATTAAGGCTGGGAGCACTGGTGTTGCAGAGGAGATCTGGCCTGTTTGCAAACTGAGCAGCTACCACCTCTGCTTTTCAAGGCTCCTCCACTTGCTTTGATTACTTGCCCATTAGCTGCTGCAGGCAGCAGTTTGTAGATCCCAGCTTCTGGGTCCTCATGTAGAGAAGGTGTGAAAACCTTTTTTTTCTCTGTGGGAGCTCACACTCAGCCAGCTTCAGAGCCCAGAGTTATTGAATCAGGGCTGACCCAAAGCTTAATTGTGAAGTGTCAATCAATCTTTTCTATCCCTCGTCTTCACAACTGCATTTCCATGTCTCAGTCCCTTCCCTTGGCCCTTCGCAGATCTCCGTTTAGGTTAAGGGGCCCCCAGGGCATGGCTTAGCCAGCCTGCTTTGCCCAGCCCAGCCCATCTCTCCCTCCACCCCCTAGCCTCAATCCAGGGTGCACCCCCTCCACCAAAGGGTCGGGGCTGGGAGGTGCAACGTGAGGAGGGATACTGGGGGGATGAAGATGGGGATTCCTGGCCACTTCTTTTTATCTTTGTGAACAGCAGTTCTGGGCAAATCACTTCTTTCTGAGACTCAGTTTATTTCTTTGTAAATCTATGATTAAACCCTCAGTTTATCTAGCTCAGAGCATCTCTAGGTTCAAAAGAGATAACAGATGGTGTACACACTTAAACTCTTACCTGAACTTCTAAAACTGAGATCACACTAGAACTGTTTAGAAGTAAATGGTTCACGGCTCTTCAGGAGCTAGTCTGGGCAACACAGATTGATCTACAAAATAATAAACTCAGTTGATAGCTCTTAATGGCCAAAAGTGGCTTTAAGGGTTATACCATTTAGGTAATGTATTTTCATTTACATCCAATCTCTTCAAGTAAATGCAATCTTAAGGAGAAAGCATTTAAGGTGAAGATTTCAGGTGTCAGGCTGACCTCTAGAGGCAATACCTTGAGGGAGAAGGGACAGTTAAACACTCAAGTCCTAGTTTTGATCATTGTCCTCTAAGCCCATACACAAAGCTGAGCCATGCAAAGTCTCCTGTAATTTGGACAGACCAAAGATGGTCTCAGAGGTTACCATCACCTTTACACAACTAGTTATTTTGCAACTCTTGCCTCATCAAAACAATGTTTTTCTCTTGGCTTGTTTTCTCTTTCAGGTAGCCTGACTACAAATTGCAGAGACCAGGCAGACCTGGGCAACCCCAAACAGAAGTCGTGTCATCTGGCTTTGGCAACTTCCTCTCCTCTGTGACTGTGAGAACAGAAATAGAGACTCACAGACTCTCGGAGTAGATGGGAACTTAGAGGTCAGTGGGCCTGGACTTCCTCAATGCTGCCAGTCAGTTGATATGCCTATAGAACACCTACTCTGTGCCAGATGCTGGAATGGGTGCTGGAAGGGGTAGGACCAAGGTGCTGAACAAGACACTCTGGCTAACCCCGTGTAGGAAGGCAGGGAGGCAGATAAGAGGTTGGGATGCCCAGATAAATATAGTGAGGTTGAACGCTCATACTCATGCACGGAATGTCACCCAAGGTGGGGGAATCAGAAAAGGCTTTTCAGAAGAGGTGGAATTTTTTGTTTTGTTTTGTTTTTTAAGTAGCCTCCATGCCCAGGGCAGAGCCCAATGCAGGGCTTAAAGCCAGGACCCCAAGATCAAAACCTGAGCTGAGATCAAGAGTCAGATACTCAACTGACTGAATCCAGGCACCCCAGGAAAAGTGGAGTCCTGAAGGAAGAAAAGGAGTGAGCCAGAAGAAGATCAAAGGCGGGGGGGGGGGGGCGGGAAGAAGTTCTAGGCACTTTATAGCATATGCAGGGCAGAGAGACCAGAAAGGAAAAGAGGTGGGAAGAAGAAAAGGAGAGAAGGAAAGGGCAAGATGAAGGAGTGGGAGGAGACTGGGTAGGATCAGGGGGATATGACTGAGCTCACTGTCCATTTAGGGAGCTGCCAGGAGCTCCCCACTGTAGTGTGAAGGTCCAGTGGGGAGCAACAGCAGGTGAGGCTGGAGCAATAAGCAGGGGCCAGATCAGAAGGAGACTTCTGGTCCTTGTGATGGAGGCAGAAAGGTAAGACTTTATCCCAAAGGTGACAAGGTGGCTCTGAAGGTCTTAAATAGCCCAGTGAATTTTAAGATTTCTAGAGTGGTTCCCCTCCGCCAGCAGACGGTTCATTCCACTCACTCGGAAGTAGGTCAGCTTGTTGACAAAACGTGTGTTCAAGTGGAGTCCAAAGATGCCATCCGCAAGAACACGGGCCAGGTGCTGCCCTCCCTGGTTGGCTTGCTCTTCCACTTGCAGTGGTCTCAATATTGGAAGACTTTTTCTTATCCCACCCATGTCCCACATTTCCTCCTTTTCAGAGTTCACAAACCTAATCCCTTCTACCTCTGTTCATGGACATAGAAGAGCTCTCCTTGGAAGCAGGGGGCTTAGAAATCCCAACTTTTCCACGCTTGCCTCTCTAGGAAAGTGAGTTGTCTACACCATAGATGTTCAAACAGCCAGCTGGGCACAGATGAAGCACATGAGTCCTCTCCTAGTGGCAATGGAGATGTTTGTACAGACACTGAGCCCAGGTTGCTTTGTCTTATAATACTCAATCTCTGGCATTGCCTCTTTGATTAGCTAGCTCTCCCACTGCCGCTGAGCTGGCCAACCACTTTCTCTTCACTCTTGCCTATTCTCCCAGGAATGGGTACTCTTTTTATGGTGCTTTGTTTGGTTAAGCTTCCCATATAACTATTCAGTTTCTTGTTACAGCTTCTTTCTCTGAAGCTAGGTACATCTTGATTGGGATGCCTTAATGCTCCCTTGGCAGCATGGCATAATGGTAAGAACAGTCTTCAGAGTCAGAAAGACCTGAGTTTGAAATTTGGCTCAGCTGATTCGTAACTGTGCGACTTACTAGGAAAGTGACCCAGCCTGTTTTCTTCATCTGTATAACTCTGAGCAATGACTACATGAGTTTGTTTAGGTAACATCCTCCATACGAAGTGGGCATAGGCTTGCAAGAACTGATGGCTATTAACAACAAAAACAGCAATGGTAATGACAATGACCATCTGGCTCCTCCACTCCCAGCTGAATGCCCTGGGTCTACTGACTTACTTGAAGCCTCAGCTTTCCCATCTCTTAGATGAGGATAACAGCAATTATTTGGTAGAGCTGGTTGAGGATCCAATGTGATAAAAATGTGCAAAGCACATGGTAGGCCCTCAAACATGGGTATGTGCTCTTTGCCCTCCAAGGGACCCTTTTCCTTTTAGCCAGCCCCTCCATCATTAGACACCCTTCCCTCCACCTTGGGTGTTCCTGTCAGGGGTCACAGGCTCTTCTGGACAAACAACCTCTGAGAAGATGAGGCTTTCCTTTCTGTTTGCCTAAAATCAGAGTCATTTTTCTGTCCCTTGTTTTTCTCGTGTTGTCTGTTTCTGGCCTGTTATGGATTGAATTGTGTGTTCCTCACCCTTTCTCAGGGTGGCAGGGGGAGGATAAAAAAGTATGTTGTGTCCCAACACCCAGCACCTGTGAATGTGACCTTATTTGGAAATAGGGTCTTTATAGATTTAAGCAAGTTAAGATGAGGTGATTAGGGTAAGTTCTTATCCAGCTTGACTGTTGTTCTGATAAGAGAAGAAGAGAGCACCATTTGGAGACAAAGACATAGAAGACAGTCTGTGAAGACAAAGAGACATTGGAGATTTGCCATCACAAGCCAAGGAAGCTGGGACTACAGAAACTAGAAGAGGGAAGGAAGGTCCTCCCCTAGAGGTTTGAATGAAGCATGGCCGACACCTTGATTTCAGACCTCTGGTCTCCAGAATTGAGACAGAATGCATATTTGCCATTTTCAGCCAACCGGTTTGTGGTCCTTTGTTACAGCAGTCACAGGAAACTGACACCCTGGCCCCACTGTTAGTTAGAGTCCACTTGACTGAGAGGTTTATTAACTTGTGAAATGAACATTTCTTAAAGCCCACCTTTAGAATTGACAAGTTGTTTACCCAAAGGGGGGGATATATTATGCGCTTATGTGTAGAATAAAATGGATAGAGAGGGGCAGGGTTAGTCTGATCAAGAAGGGAAAAGAACCACTTAGAAGACTTCAAAGCACCACCCTGCTAATGAATAAGACAAAGCAACTTGGAAAAGTAGGGAAGGTCTGAAGTGAGGGTCAGGGTGGGAAGAATCACAAGGCCACAATTCACAGGTTTCAGGGGGGCTGGCATTTTTGTGCTGATTTAATCTACAATTTCAGCTTATCAAGGGATAAGGTTGACAGACTAAAAATTAGCCACAGGGTACAACTTTACTCCTGGCTTAACAGAGGACTAAAGACATAAAGTCAGCTGCCGTGTCAGAACTTGCAGGGCAGTGTGAAACACTGCGGTTTGAACAAAGCCGAGTTGGCCTGAGTATGAATTACAGGAAGAAAGGAAGGAAGAAAAAGAAAGAGCTCTGGGCTATTTATTCCTTTTCTATGGAACACGTTGAAGAAAAGATTTGTCACAGACCCAGCTGGAGGACGTGGGGCCAAACAGGGCACAAGGGGCATGAGTCACAGCTCCCAACTTTCAGAAGCTCCATATGTGGGAGCCCAGCAAAAGGCTCACCACTATTCTGATGGAGTCCCTTTGGTTTGGGGGCTGCACAAGCTTCAGCCAAATGCTGTGCAGGTCTTAGAACTTAGAACCAGTTATGATGGCCTTGGACTCATGCAGCATGGTGTTTTAGGTAAAATAGTACTTAGCTATCAGCTGGGTGGAGATGGAGGAAACTGGTTGACACTCTGTTGATGGGGTGATCAGATCTGATGGGGATGGGGTGGCTCTTGGCTCAGTTTAAGACTACAGTGGACTTTCAGTTGCCTAGCATGTGTTCCTGCCATGTTCTGATGTTCCTTTGGAGACTCAACCTTTCTCTCTTCTCAGTTCCTGCTGCTAGGAGCAGGTGCATGGCCATGCTACAGCCAAGCAGCATATTCCATTGTCCTGGCCCCACAGTAATTGGTTTAGGAATGGGCACATGTCAGCCCCAAGAGTCAATCCTAGGGATTTTTACAAAAACTATTGAGGACAAGATGCAGTTAGTTGGGTTGCTGAGAGAAGAGGATGTGCACCGGAAGCTGCTGGGGGCCATCTTGGTACCATGTTGGAAGAGCCAGTCTAAGTGAGCCCAGGAATGGAGAGAGAGGGAGAGTCCTGATGAGACTGAGCCCTTACATCTAGTGGTGCCTAAAGCTCTTTTTTGTTACATGAATCAATACATTCTAGCCTTTTATTTTTTTAGGCCACTAGAAGTTAGGTTTCTTGGAAACCTAGAGTTCTAATACACAGACCTCAGCAAGGCAAAATAGGACCACAGAAAATGCCACCAAAATATATAGAAGACAGAATATACGAGATATAATGTGTGGCACGTTGCACCGGCTGGCTTGTAAGGTAAAGATATGATCGTAGGAATAGCTTTGAGAGCATTTTAGAGTACTTAAGAGTATTTCCAAACATAAAATGATAGTATTACTCTTTTAAATCCTTCTGGGATTAGGGAATAAACAAAGTAAAAAAAAACAGTAATCTGAATTCTTCTTGTAGTAATATGGCATCATCATCATCATAAAAAGACGATCCTAAAGGCAAGAGGTGTGGGTTTCATCTGGGCTCTGATCTAGGGCTACCAACTTGTCCTGGTTTGCCCAGTGGGACTGCCCCTGTTTTATAATGGAGAGTCCCCTGTTCCCAGAACCACCTCAGTCCCTGGCAAACCTGGGTGGTCTGTCATGCTGTATCTTTGGGAAGCTCCAGGTTTTCATAAAGGGCCGCAGTGCTCACTGCAAAAGGGGAAGGGGTGTCAAGTGACCGACCTCTTCTGCTTTAGAGCAATTTCTCTTCTATATTTTTATTTTTTTTATTTTTTTAAAGATTTTATTTATTTATTTGACAGAGAGAGAGAGACAGCGAGAAAGGGAACACAAGCAGGGGGAGTGGAGGAGGGAGAAGCAGGCTTCCCACGGAGCAGGGAGCTCGACACGGGGCTTGATCCCAGGACCCCGGGATCATGACCTGAGCTGAAGGCAGATGCTTAATGACTGAGCCACCCAGGCGCCCCTCTTCCATATTTTTAAAAAATCAGAGTCTGCCTAAGATTTTTTGGGGGGATAGGGAAATATGCTCTTTGAGGGACCTCCCTTTAGAATTCCATGATTTAATTTTCTTTGTTATGAGGCAAATGGCTCTTACAGGCCAGTGTTTCCTGCACCTGGCTGATCATAGCAGTCACCTGGGGAACTTTAAAACGGCATACATTCCTGGCTACCACACCTGGAGATTCCAACTCAGCCAGAATCAAGTGGAGTCAGAGCTCTATATTTTTAAAAATCTTTGCAGGTGACATACATATAAATTATTCACAAATGCTGGTATGTTAACTATCATTAATAATAAATCACTTTCCACACACCTCACAAATGGCCAAGACACACCATTGTTTGAGGTACTGTTTCC